AAGAGGCCGACCTGGGGGGCGTCTACAGCTTCATCTAATGCTGTCATTGCAGACTCCTGGATATTTTACCGGCTCCTTTTGGCAGGGGACTCTATTTTTTTTTTTTTTTTTTATAACAAGTCTTGATTTCTTAAACTGTAAAATGTGTAACTTGAATAACAATAAAATTTTTTTCACAACAGTGAGAGAAAGATGGCACACTTATCACAAGCATTTCTCTTTTCTTCCACAGAATGGCCCAATAAAAGATAAAGGCAGAATGGCCAAGAGCAGCAAAGGGAAGGGGAGAGGTGCTATCACTAGACAGAACCTGAAATATTTTCTGTGAGATAAAAATCTGAGGCGCACAAAGCAGGGCAAAGAGAACGTTCGGGGAAGGGCAGGGACGGACCAGAGAGAGAACTCTACGAAGCCACCATGACATAGGTAGGGTGCTCCACCAGCAGGCCCCCCACGGGGACAGCTCTCAGTTTTCCTCTCAATGCGCGTCTCTTGAAAATACTGACTGAGAAGCAAGAGTCACCAGACACAGGAGGACACCTGTGACCCTGCTGGGCCCTTCTCCCCACGTTTGCTCCCAGGCGAGAGCCAGCAATAACTAAGCCTCCTCTCTCAGAAAGAGGGAGTGCATCTGCGGGCCCAGTGAGCTCATGTTCTGGCGCCAATTCCAGTGGGGCTGTGGGTGCTGAGTCCTCCCCACACCAGCACGCAGTTCTCGGACACCAGGCAGACATGCAGGAGGGCAACGAGATCTGACGGTGTCCACCTGGAGACGCATCAGACCCACAAGGCAAGGGGCTCAGCCCTCAAGGCCGCCCTCCACGTTGGGCGCAGGCTGCCAGCCCGAGGCTTCTGCCCCACCCACGGCAGGCAGGAACCCCTCGACCCACTGCTCACATTCGGGTGCCTGCCCCCAAGCCCAACGAGTGACTGTGCTTCTGGCTGGCCACAAGCCAGAGTTCCCAGGATGCCTGTGTCAGTTCCATGCACCCATAAGCGCCCCCACACTCAGGAGGCCCACTCAGCACCACCAGGTTATGGCAAAGAATATAGCCAACTCCAAAGGGAAGAGAGGCGCAGGGCCAGGTGCAGGAGATGGGGGGGACGGGGTTCCCATGCCCAGTCTCCCCAAATCTCCTGTGCGCACCAACTCTTCCAGTCTGAGGATTCCTTTTGGGCTTGTATGGAGGCATCTGCACAGAGGAGCGATTCATCAAATCAGCTGGCAGGGAACGCCAGGGTGGAAGTCAGGGCAGGGTCTAAGTTCCAGTCCTCTGCTCACGTTGGCGTCCCACCTCTGATGTTTCCCCAAAGTTTCCTTCATTACCATGACAGGAGAAACCTTTTTCTCTTATAGCACTTAGGAAATTCCCAGGAGAGCTGAGAGACAGAACTGTGATGAAGATCAAAATGTATCACCCGGTGACCCAGAATGTGTTCCTTTTCCCATAGGACCCGTCTGTACCCATGCTCTAGAGAGCTGCCGTGAACAGTGACTTAGTAAACAGTGAACCTGGGGGGATACAGGGTCGGTCAGGTTAGTGAGACTCTGATCCTCTTAGTCCACTAGCACACGACCTTGCTTTCGTGCACGCGTCTGTCTCCGGGCACCTAACAGCACTGTCCAGCGCACGCTTACCTGACGCTGCTTCTATTGGGCACAGGACGCTCTGCACTTAGGAACCCGGGAGTGAGCCCATCGGCCCTACACCGGTGGTCACTTTAAACAGAGAGAAATCACCAAGACAAAAAAGGCACACAGTGGACTAAACAGAGCCCTACAGAGGGCACTGAACGCATCAAAGCTGGAACAGGCTGTGTGCCACCTTGGTGCTGGACCTCAGGGACATGCAGCAGTTGAGTGAAGCTTGCCTCTGCACAAGCGTGCAGATGACCGCAAGTGCTGATTCTGGGATGAAGAGAAACCCCTGTAAGCACTATCTTACCATCTATAATCTCCATTCGCCTCTCTGTCTTGAACTAATACACTACGTGACCTGCACAGGCACTGCAGGTATCTGAAAGGTACGTCGAAACATCTGGGAAAATTAACAGTAAATACGCAGTACCTTTAAAAAAAGTTTAAAAATGAGGTAATTATTCGAGACAAAAGTAAAAATTATCTATGAAAATAAATGATCACAGAAAGTAAATGAGCTAGCACTGAACAAAAATAACCATAAAAAGCCAAAGTCCACCTGGACGGCTCACGTCGTGGAGAGGCAGGCGAAGGAAAGCAGGGGTGGAAGTGAGTCATACAAGAAAGCTCCACCGCTGTACACTTCCTAGGGAGGAGGTCAGTGATGTCTAAAATCACAAGACTGAAAAGAACCAAAAACTACCAGAAGAGAAAAATGGGAGCCATTACTTAAAATGGTAATGAAGGAAAAGATATTTCTAGTTTTAGTTAGAAAAAACTCCCAGTACCATTTGGCTTTTTTTTTTTTTTTTTTTTTTTTTAAGATTTATTTATTTGTTTACATAAGCACTGGGTACAGTCAGAAGCACGGGAGGGTGAGAGAATTCACCAGAGCCAGAGCGGGGAGCAGAACAGGCAGACAGACGAAGTACACTGCTGAGGGGAGCAGCGGGCGGCAGGAGAGGTCTGTGCGCCATGTGGGGCCCTCGCCGGTGGCCGGGGATTGAACCAGCGCTGCAGAGGCTGCGGGCAGCTTCTCAGCCCAGCGGTCAACTGCTGGGCCACCAGGGGAGGCCCGCCATTTGGCTTCTTAAAACTATGTGCAGGTCTCCCTGGTGGCCGAGGGGTTAGTCTTGGCACTGTCACAGCCAGGGTCTGAGTTCAATCCCCACCTCAAAGGGCACAGCAGACTTTTCCTGTCTCCCTGCTGCTCCCCTCAGCAGTGTGTTTCAGTAGATCCGCCCGTTCTGCTCCCCAATCTGTCTGGTGAATCCTATAGCCACCCCCCCCGCCCCAGTTCTACACAAAAACAAAATCTTAAAAAAAAAAACTTCAGCAATATGCCCAAACCTATTTCAGAAGGTTACATAGATGCCACTACCTTGAAAGTCTCAAAAGAAACAAAACTAGGAAATAAAGGACAGACAGGTGGGATGCGGGAGGCTATCCATGGGCGGAGGCGAAACAAAGGGAGCGCACAAGGAGTGTCTAAGAATACCAGGGTTGTTCTGCATCGTGATGATGAGAGCGATGGTACTGTGATCTAGAAATGCATTCAAATTCATCAAGTTGTACACCAAAAGGAAAAATATGTAGCTTTAGGGCCTCCCCCGTGGCGCAGCAGTTGAGCGCTGGGCTGTGAAGCTGCCCGCAGTCTCTGCAGCACCAGTTCGATTCCCGGCTGCTGGGCGAGGGTCCCACATGGCGCACAGACCTCTCCTGCCGCCCGCTGCTCCCCTCAGCAGTGTGCTTCGTCAGTCTGCCTGTTCTGTTCCCTGCTCTAGCTCTGGTGAATTCTCTCACCCTCCTAGTGCCTCTGACTGTACCCAGTGCTTGTATAATTTTTTTTAAAAAGTAGCTTTAAAATTCATATAAACTTGCCCAATTTTGATGTCCAAAGTAAGCCTGCCTGCAAAAGGAGCTCCCACACCAATGTCATAGCCTTCCCACACACTCATGGCTGCTGGTGGGGAGGGAGAGAGAGAGGAAGGAGGGAGGGATGGAAGGAGAGGGAGAGAGGGAGAGAGGGAGAGGGAGGGAGAGGGAGAGCTAGGGAGAGAGAGCAAGCCTGCAGGCCACACTGCTGCCAACAGGGGCTTCTTGCTGGCAGAGCAACTGACCCTGGTCCTGATCCAACAGCCCAGGGTGGGGGGCGCAGGCACCACCCGCCATCTGCAGCACCGCCTTGGCACACTCATGAGGAAGCTCCAGAACAGGGAAAGCATTTTGCGAATGAAAGTTTCATAGATCTGCCAAATGCAGTTTTAAAAAGCTTCGTCGTAAAGTATCACGACACTCATTCAACAAATATTCTCTGAATATTTAATCGGTGCCAAGTGCCGTGTTAAGCACCAACAACCACCCCGCAGACTCCATAGGCAATTCCAGGATCGAGAGAGATGTGCTCTCTGAGGGAGGGCGAGGATTAACCTGGAGGATTAACCCGGTCCCCGATGGCCTCCAGGTGAAGAGACCCCACATGAGGGGAGACGCGTTCCAGGCGGCGCGAGCAGAAGGTGCCAAGGCCTGAGCGGAAGAATGAGGCCAGGCAGCAGGGCAGGCCACAGGCGGGTGGAGATACAGCGGTTTAAATGGCTGCATTTCGGGTAAATACAGAATGTGGTGGAGCAAAGAAAGTATCCGAAAAACTCAGAAAGCATGGCCATCCTCACAGCACCCCATCAGGGTACGCGATGAGAAAAGCATCTGGGCAATGAAGAAACTTTTTGAGGCTAAATCAAAAAAATAAGACAACACTACTGCTGCGCAAGGGTCATGAGCCTGTATGTGATGGTCAAGACAATCCGTCCTGGGTGGCAGACACTGGCTGCTGAAAAAGCAGTGACATTACCCGTTTTTAAAAGCAGAAGAGGGCAGCGGTTGAGCGCTGGGCTCTGAAGCTGCCGCAGCCTCTGCAGCGCCGGTTCCATCCCCGGCCGCCAGCGAGGGTCCCACATGGCGCACAGACCTCTCCTGCTGCGCCTGCTGCTCCCCTCAGCAGTGTACTTCGTCAGTCTGCCTGTTCTGTTCCCTGTTCTGACTCTGGTGAATCCTCTCACCCTCCCGCGCTTCTGACTGTACCCAGTGCATGTATGAACAAATAAATAAATCTTTAAAAATAAATAGAGAGATAAATAAATAAGTAAATAAATAAATAAAAGCAAAGGAGTATTCATTTGGTAATATCTACACCTACAGTAATGAGAAAGCAAAAAACTCCGAGAAAATGTTTCTTGTTCTTTAAAAAAAAAAAAAAAAAAAAAATGAGCTTAGAATTCAGTCCAAAGAAATAAATGCCCCCCCCCCCGCCACCCCCCAGAATAAACAACATCAGAAGAGAAAGGCAGCGCACTTGACTTACCTCTCTGCCTGTCAGGATGTGTCTTGCCAGTTTCACCTTCGCAAAGTTCCCCTTGCCGATTGTTTTCAGCAGTCTGTAGTTCCCAATGTGAGGCTGTTCATCTGCGCAGGAAGCTATAGAATTTCTACCCCGAGCTCCAGAGCGCCCAGTGCGAGAGGTCACTTCTTGCCGCCCATCGCCGTGTGACGTGTGCTACAACACATAGAAAACAAGGAAGTGAGAGGACACATAGTACTCGCCAAATTTCACCAGCCTCTCCCTGAAGAAACAAAACATTACAGCTTTCTTTTTTCTTTTTTTTTTTTTTGGTGGGACCCTCGCCGGCGGCCGGGGATCGAACCAGCACTGCAGAGGCTGCGGGCAGCTTCACAACCCAGTGCTCAACCGCCGCGCCACCAGGGGAGGCCCACAGCTTTCATTTTAATCCTAACGCACCCCTCACACTTCACAGTTTCTCCACATCCTGTGAATCTGAGGAGAATGAGACGCTGAGAAGAAAAATGCCAAGCGTTGACGTTCAAATGGGTGTTCAGACAGGTATTTTCTACGCGTGGCTACCACATTAAATAGGGGCAACAGGACCCCCGCAGTCATGAAAACCTTTGCTCTCCAGCACCCCTCACCCTCACCACACCCCACAGAACAGGCAGGACAGTGACTGTCATGAGTCACCAGATGAGGGGACTTCCGTGATGTGTTCACGGCCACATTGCTACTGAGTGCAAAATCCAAGAGAAGCTGGATCCACAATTTCTCTCTACACTGCGCTGCCAACAATTACTCAAAACAAGGTATTCAATAAACAGCAGGCTCTGGTCCTTGACCAACTGCGGCTGACTAGATGAACAAAGTGCCCCACGGGCCCTGTCCCTGTGCGGTCAGCACAGCACGTGCGCCTCTGCCCACGGAGGGACCAGAGGCCTGCTCTGCTTGCACCGCTCTGTGTACATGACAGGTCGTGGACAAGCTCCCGGCGCCCGCCGCAGCCTCCTCCCCAGAGCTCACGCACCGCCGGGGCTGCCGACTCCCCTCCAGAGGTCTTGGCGCTCACAAAACTCACTCTGGCCCCTCACTCTTCTTGGCCTTCTCTTGCTGGCCTCTCTCTATCACAGGTCACAGGAAGGCTGATTCCAGCTGGGAAACCTGAGATGCTACTTTGCCACACGCCCATGCAAAGGACAGGAAACAAGTATTTTAAAGGAAGGCTTACTTGTGCCAGCCACCCCCAAGCCTCAAAAGGTGGCCTCTTCTGAATTCCTGCCTTCACTCACCCACTGTTCTGACTCTCCCACACCAACAACTCCCCCTCGTGAGCCAGGTTCTGGGGCAGGACATCTTTTGTTTTGTTCAAATACCTGCGGTTTCTTTTTATTGTGAATGTCCATGGGCGTTAAACAGACTTTTATGAACTAGTTACAAACCTAAGCAACACTGTCTTAAATTAGAACATTAAGAAAACTGCCTATAAATGAGGACTTGATCAAAGACTGAAACAACAGAGTCACGAAGCGGAGGCTGTGGCGCAGAGAACGAGGCCGTGCGGAACGCAAGTGTGCAGAGCTGCGAGGCGTCATTTAAAGGCATATGGGAAACAAACAAAAAATCAAAATAAAACAAAGGCGTATGGGGCTGTCTGTCGGTCACCTCCAAAAGGACAGGGCTATTAAGGAAAAGAGAGGCACCTGCAGTCATGGGGCAGGAGAGCTGCTGCTCCCACTGTGCAAAGGGAAAAGGTTTGTTAAAGAACTATTTCTGTGGGGCCTCCCTGGTGGTGCAAAGGGTAAAGCACCGCACTATGAGGCAATCCGCAGCCTCTGTAGCATGAGTTCGATCCCCAGCCAGGGACCCGTCCACATGGTACAGACCGCTCCTGTTTCGCCCGCTGCTCCCCTCAGCAGTGTACTTCGGTCGATCTGGATGTTTTGTTCCCCACTCTGTCTCTGGGGAATCCTCTCACCCCCACCCCCGCATCTTTGGCCTGTACCCCAGCTCTTGTATGCATAAATAAATAAATCTTTTTAAAAAGGGGGGGATGCAAGGTCCTACAAACACGGCGGTGCCAAAGGTGAAGCAGGACATGCCCCCGCCCAGGGTCTACGGCCCCATCGACTACAAGCAGAAGCTTCCCCTTCGGGGGCTAGTGGGCTACACAGCATGTTTGCTGTGGGCAGCAGGACCTTGCTCGTCGGGTACTGGAGCACGGTGAAGTGGAACCGGGAACGCAGGCGCCTGCAGATTGAGGACTTTGGGGCCCAAATTGCGCTGATGCCACTGTTCCAGGCGGAGAAGGATCGGAGGGCCCAGCAGATGCCGCGGAGAACCTGGAGGAGGAGGCCGTCGTCATAAAGGATGTGCCTGACTGGAAGGTGGGCGAGTCCACGTTCCACACAATGTGGTGGGTCGCTCCCATAATGGGTGAGCCATACAGGATGCGCCCCAACGATGAGACTGTCAACGCCACCTACGGCTTCATGTGGTACACGTAGCGCCTGCACCCACTGGATGACGGCACCCCCTCCCCTCCCTCCCAGGACAGAATAAAGGCTCTGGAGACCACCAAGAAAAAGAACTGTTTTTGTTACATGCTTATTCCAAGCTAAAGGTTCATGAAAACAGGGATGGTGGCTTACTGTTGCTCAGATCCCAAAACAGTAGTTGGTATGTATCAGGTATTTCATTGATAGAATGACTAAAATGAACGATACTAAAATTATAGTGGTCAGGTGGTGAAATTATGGAGAATAATTTTTAATTTCCTCTATTCATTCATTCAAATATTTACCTAGGGGTTACATAGATTGTATTCACACGCATACATTGTGCATTGGAAACACAGCAGTGTACAAAACAAAGCCCCTGTCCCCATGGGGTGTGTGTCAAGTGACTTTACTATTTACTCCATGAAAATGTAGTCTTTAGAATTATACTACTGGGCCTCCCCGGGTGGCGCAGCAGTTGAGTGCTGGGCTGCGAAGCTGCCCGCAACATCTGCAGCGCTGGTTCCATCCCCGGCCACCGGGCGAGGGTCCCACATGGCGTGCAGACCTCTCCTGCCACCCGCTGCTCCCCCCAGCAGTGTGCTTCGGTCCTCCTGCCTGTTCTGTTCCCTGCTCTGGCTCTGGTGAATCCTCTCACCCTCCCGCGCTTCAGACTGTACCCAGTGCTTGCGTAAATAAATAAATAAATCTTTTTAAAAAATAGAATTATACTACTGGTCAGAATTTTAGATAAAAAGGCTTATGTAAGGTAAATATACATTTTCTAATTTACATGTTTTCTAAATTCAGCTTTTCATAAATGAATTTTTCTAGCGCCAGGCGGAGTTACAGAGACAATACTTTTCCTTCTACCACAAGTAAAGAAATACCGGAGCAACCCTACGATTCATACACATACAGAGCTCATCCTTCTGCTCTCTTCCCAATCTACTCACAACAAAACACCAACTCCTCGGCGACAGAGTGTTCTGCTGGCTTTGTTCTGTGTCACCCGGTCCCAGAACCTGGAGCGACGCCGCAACAGAGCTGGGCAGTATCTTCTTGCTGGATGAACGATAACAGAGCTAAGGTCCTCTCTGGTCTAACCCACGCCTCTTCTCCTCATACAGGCCCAGCACTCTCCAAGCATGACCGACCCTCTCAGAGTGGTGTCCTTGCCTCCCCAGCATCTGTCACTATCTTGATGAAGCTTTCCAGGACTCTCCCTGCATCCCATCAGAATTTTTGAGGTAGTGTGCAACTAGGTTTCTATTTGCTCCTTTGTTCTAAACCATACTATTCCCCACCATAATGGCTCTTGCTTCTGAGTTCCTGGGAGAGAACGCTAACTTCACAGAGACTCAGTCTCCTCCCGGAGGCCAGGCACAGTCCTTGCCTAATCTGGCAGGTGAGATTCAAGCGCAAGTGACAGGTCATGCCTACGCTGAAGCCTGGAACAGCAGGCCTTCACACGGCCACCTTCCTTCCTCTTGAACCCTGAGTGCTGTCCTAAGACAGAGGACACAAGACCCCCGCCTGGCCAGGGAGCTCAGCCCTCATGGAGCCAATGAGTCCTCACGCTGACTTCATGAACAAGGGTTTTACTGGCCAAACCTAGACCGAGGCGATGCTGGTTAACCCCTGCAGCTAACCCAGCCTGACCGAACATGCACTCATGCAAGCATAACACAAAGCAGAAAGAACCCTGTATTTCCCTATTAGATTATAAACTCACATAACGGTCTAAAACACCTGATATTTGTCAAATTCCAGGAGAGTTAAACCTAGTGTATTTAATGCTTTCTTATAATGAAATGTAATGAACTTAACACCAAAATAAGTCTCTCAAAATAGAAGCAAGTTAAATTGCTTTTTGCTTCTACTGGCCCTTTATTTTACCCATGCATCCATCAGCAACTCTAAAGAAAAAATTTATTCTGTGTCATAGCACTCAATCCTGATACTAAATATTTTAACCATTCTGATTTCTTGTACTGTCAGCCAATAATGCCATGCATATAATTTTTCCTTCCTAAGGAGCCAACAATCAATCTATGGACAAAGAAACAGTCATGCTTAGGTAGCCACTTGGTGACAATCTGTGGTGGCCCAAACACAGAACAGTTTCTCGAAGCTGTTGGATTTAACTCTTGAAAACTAAAGGAGCCCTGACCCTCCCCTCCATGGAACTGAGCTGACACCATCTCATCCGCCCTGAGGCGAAGTGTGTGCACCACTGCTGGCAAACTGGAAGCTATTAAATTCATTCAGGTTCATTTTCAAATTTTTAAAAAAGATTTATTTTTATACACGAGCTGGGGTACAGGCCAGAGGCACAGGAGGGTGAGAGCATTCACCAGAAACAGAGCGGGGAGCAGAACAGGCAGGCTAACTAAATACACTGCTGAGGGGAGCAGCGGGAGAAGCAGGAGGCGTCTGCCATGCCATGTGGGTATCTCACCGGATAGCTGGGAATGGAACCCACGCTGCAGAGGCTGCAGACAGCTTCACAGAGCTGTGCTCAACCCATGGCACCACTGGGGAGGCCCTCATTTTCAAACCTCTCTTTAACTCTGAGGATGGACCCTAAACGAGGCTTAGCAGCAGCCAGGGCCCAGGCAGGCACTCTGGGGCTTGTCCCGAGGACATGAGCCTGAGTGCTGGCAGGAGCCCACAGGGCTTGCCATCCGCACAAGCTCCGACCCACACCCTCTT